TTTTAACAGTTTATATATTACTGTACATTTTTCCTCTGATTTCTTTGCTTAGACTTTTTAAAACATAAGGTCCTCACTTTTTTTTTTTTTTTTTTCATATTTGCAAAATGTACTTGGCATAGATTGCCAAAACTTTCAGCAACCATGAAATAATGCAAGTTGTCCATTGTCACGTACTTAGTGTATAAATTACTTGACAATTGGAAACAAATCTTTCACAAATGAGTAAATATTAGCCACATTGTTGGACTTATTTCTTTTTTCTTTCTTGTCACTACCTTTTGCTCTTAAAACTTTGGCAGTTTTGAAAGAAACCAAATCTTGAGTGTCATTATTCCAAAAATTTCAGCATCACATCTGTTGCTTCTCTATAAATCCTTTAGATTCTGATGATTACAGTAATATAGTCCTCTTAAGGCTTTTAGTTCAGATAGTCAGGATCATGATAAAATATATTCTTTAGTATTACTATTGGTAATATATGTAATGTATTTTCTTGTATTTCATTATTGCTTTACTTCAAAACATCTTGCAGCGTATCATCCCTTTCAAATAATTCCCAACATGAAATTGCAGCATTGGCATTCCATCCAGTAACCCTGAGAAGAACCTGATAATTCACCCCTGACAAGAACCTGATAACATTTTCTGACTTAGTTCTAATGTTGGATTGCTCAGGTATACATGACCATTTTGTAGCATTTTGAATAGTCAAATGTTTATTTATATTACTGTTTTCTTCCTTATCTGAATCAAGGTCTTCATTCTGTATTTCTCTTTTATATCTGTCATATCTTGTTATCTTTTTAGGTTACATGATCCGAGGCAGCACTGGTAGCTGAGTTACCCAGTGATTCATTTTCCATCTCTTCTCAAAGCTATGAGGGTAGATTTTCATGCAACATTGTACTGAATTGGGCTAAATTCCATTTCAAGTTCATACCCATGCACATACTGTTTTGTTTTTATGTTCTGCATTATAATATTTTATCTTTATTATCTGGTATCATTTTTATTCTATACATTACTCAACAAAATGCTAAAACTGATGGCTTTCATGGGTGATTGTGTCTATGGAGTTTAAAGAATTCATTAATGTTTATCTGATTCTCACTTTTGCAGTATCCAAAATATCTGCTTAAGAAGATATTTTCTTCAAGTCCTCCTTCCCTTTTTTTGTCTTTCTCTTTTTTAAAAAAATATTTTTATTGAGAAACAAATGAGACAGTTTCACAACCGATTGCTAGTACATTTTCAATAATTAATACATTGCATATTGTTGTCTTAGTGGTTATTCACTGTACAAGATCCATGCCCACATTTTGACATTCAGCACACCAAATGGGCAATCACTGATTGCTCCCTGTATCCCTAGCACAGTTGCCAAGATGCACAGCTGGCTATGGTATGCCAAAGTACTTATTTTCATTAAGAAAATATGGTCTAGCTGTATTTTATCTGCCATACAGCCCTAGGGTGAAATGTTCCTCTTATTCCTTAGTGTGTCTGCCATGATTGGGAGGAGAGAGGGGTTTGGTATGTACCCTGTGCAGGCGCGGGTATGCATATCACTCCTTCAGCTTCTTAACTAGGGAGATAATATGATGTTTGTGCATGCTGTTCCGATTTATTTCAAATGAATATGGTCTCCATTTATATTCATTTATCCTATAAAAGTCATAAGTTTATCCTTTATAGCTGAGAGTACTGTATTGTATGAAAGTATCACATCTTTTTATCCATTTTTTGGTTGATGGACATTTGGATTCTTTTCAACATTTAGCTGTTACGAATTGTGCTGCTATAAACATGGGCACATATTACTATGATTATATTTGTAATTTTTCTGGGAACCCAGAAGGGGGGTATCTAAGTTGAATGGGACCTCATCCTAGTTTTTTGAGGAATCTCCATACTGATTTCCATAGTGGTTGTACCAGTCTGCACTCCCAACAACAATGGAGAAGGGCTTCTTTTATTCCATAGTCCTTCTAACATTTGTTAATGATTTCTAAATGATAGCCATTCTTTCTGGGGTGTCACCTTTCTAGAAAGACAACATTTCACAGATCAGCAGCAGTTCAGTGAGAAATGTCTGCTAACAATATAACAGATGAGACCAGACCTCAGCAACCTCTATGAGTCTGTGTCAAAAAAGTTTGGGGACACTCAGCCACCTTAGCCACCACTCTCAGTTGTATTTTAATTTGCATCTCTTAAATGACCAGTGATGTTGAACATTTTTTTGTTTATTATTTGCTGTTTGTATTCTTTATCTGAGAAGTGTGTATTCTTCTCAGTTGCCCATTTTAGGATTGGGTTTTTGAATTTAGGGGAGCCTGATATATACCTTTATATATTCTAGATAATCCTTTGAGGGAGAGTTGGCTAGAATTTTTTTCTCACTCTGGATTATCTTTTTACTCTGTTGGTGATTTCTTTGGATATACAAAAGCTTTGTAATAAGATGAGATCCTAATTGTTGATTCTTTGAAGTATTTCCTGTGCAGTTTGGATTTTATTAATGGGCTGCACCTTGTCTTCAAGATTTAGTGTTTACATTTTAATATTTAGATCTTTGATCCATTTTGACTTCAGTGTATGGTGTTAGATATGGGTCTAATTTTAGTCTTTGGCATGTAGAGAACCAGTTTCCCCCCGCCATTTATTGAAGAGGCTATCTTTCTTCTAGTGAACATGTTTGGCTCCTGTGTCAGAGCTAAGGTGGCTGAGTATCCCCAAACTTTTTTGACATAGACTAATAGAGGTTGCTGAGGTCTGGTCTCATCACTATTATACTGTTAGAAGACATTGCTCATTGTGAACTGCTGCTGGCCTCTGAAATGTCATCTTCCTAGAAAGGTGACATAAAATTTTATCTTTTCTTTTCTATTCCAGTTCTAGGCATTGAAACCAGGACCTTCACACTGAAGCGCATCCCTAGTTTTTAAAAATTATTTATTTATGTGTGTATGTGTGTGTCCAGCTCAGCCCACTAGGGGGTGGGGCTGACTGGCATGTGGTGCTGGGGGATTGAACCGCGGTCCCTATGCTTTACTAAGCTTGTTCTAAGTAGGTGCTTTAGACCACTGAGCCATCTCACCAGCCCCCCTAGTTCTTCTTATAATTTATTTTGAAATAGGGGCTCACTAAGTTGCCAGGTTGCCCAGAATGTACTTATTCTTGGAATTCTGCTTCAACCTCTTTAGTCTTTCTTTTGAGATATAAGTTTTCATAGTAAGTAGTTACTAACCTTTTCAAATATGGATTTATTAAATTTCTTTTTTCAGACTGTTTTTGAGTATGGTTTTTGATTTTCCATGATTTAATATGTTTTGGTCGTCTTTGCCTCTGTGATAAAATCATACTACGGGTCAAAAAAATAGATCTGAGGATCAATGGAACATATGAGAAGATGGAGACACAACTACAGACACACTCAGGCATCTTACATTTGCAAAGGGGCCAAACAAGTTCACTGGAAGAAAGATAGCCTCTTTAATATATGGTTCTGGAAAAACTGGCTTTACACATGCTAAAGTCTGAAAATAGACCCGTGCTTATCACCATGCACAAAACTACAGTCAAAATGGATCAGAGATTTAATACTAAAACCGAAACACTAAATCTTCTGGAGGAGAAAGTTTTGTTTGGGGTGTGTGTGTGTGTGTGTGTGTGTGTGTGTGTGTGTTTAAAGTGATAGTATGAGTAGATCTCAGAGCCTTGCACTTAGTAGGCAAACACTACCACTGATATGTTCCTCCAGGTTCAGTTTGTCTTTTTAGTGTTCAAATGTTAAAATATGCAGGTAGTTCCTGCTGCTTTTGTCATGATTTGTGGTTCAACTGAGCATCTGTCTCATTTATACCTTTCTTATATCCTCACATCATGTCATGGGCTGACTGCTTTGTGGGATTGTATGTATCATAAGAGCATGACTTGCTCTCATTTTGCCCACTTCTGACAGTTTACAGGCTGGTCTTGAATTCATTGTGTATAGTCCAGACTGGTCCCAAACTTTTGGCAAATCCTGCCTTAGCCTTCCAAGTACTGGGATTACACATACATGCCACCATGTATGACTTTAGAATTTTTTTTACTTTGAAGTACTTTGCTGTTTCTCTGTGTGTATTCACAAAGCTACATGAGCTTTTAGAATCCTTACCTATATTGGGACTTATTTTACATATACAAAAATATAGATAGTTCTTTGTTCAAGGTCTCACCTGATTTATTTATGAGACTGTAATTTTAACTTGGATCATTTCAGTTTTTACTCAGCTCTCACACTTTAGTTGCTGCTCTGTTGAAACTTGTCAATTTTTTTTTTTACTTTACAGTCTGTCATGTAGATTTCTTATGCATCAGTCTCATTAGGTTCTAATATCTTGTTTTGAATTTGTATACTGATTTTTCTGCTCTGTTTTTAAAAGGACCTTAAAAGCTTTGATCCAGGAGAGAAGTACTTTTATAACACATCATGGGGAGATGTTTCTCTTTGGGAACCTTCTGGAAAGAAAGTGGTACGTATATTTGTATTTGGTTTCATTTGGGAGTAGGAATATCAGTTATTGATGGTGAATGAGGAAGAGGCATAAAGTAACCATTCCAGAGATTACTTCTTCATGATCCAGGATTATTAATGCTTGCAGAGTTTTCTGCATATAAAGTTGGTCTAGTGATACAGTGAAACTATTGTATTGATTTTATTGCTCTTTGATTCTAAAAAGCCACTGGATGGTTGATTTAATAACTGATTTGGGTAAAAGATAATGAATGCCATTGGGCATGATGTCATAAGCCTCTAATCCCAGCACTCTATGAGGCCAAGGCAGGAGGACTGAAAATTTAGCAGTTAAGCAAGACCCTGTTTCAAATTAAAGAAGGGCTGAGGATGTAACTCAGCCAGTATGAAGGCCCTGGGTTCAGTCCTTAGTTTGGTGTAAGTACAGATATTCCTCATTTAATGACCTGTTTCTTTAATAACTGTTGCCTGAGGCATACTGTTCAGTCTTACAACCTGCATTCAGACTTACGATTTATACTTTTATCATGACTTGTGGTTCAACTGAGCATCCGTCTCGTTTATACCTTTCCTATGTCCTCACATCTCATGGACTGACTGGTGCTTCTTTAGGGGATTATTTGTACGATAAGAGCATGACTTGCTCTCATTTTGCCACTTTTTGACAGTTTATAGGCTGGTCTTAAATTCCCTGTATAATCCAGACTGTTAGAACAGAAAAATGGTCAAAGGAAACTCCAGCTTGATGACTTCGCTTATATTTGCATAACTTAAGTGTAGTAATATAATGTATAACAGCATAAAACTATTACTATATTGTATAGTACAATCAGCAAAAATTTAGAGTACTGTATAAACAAGGACATTGTACAAAAAGGACATTGAGGCTCTATGAGCAAGATGTACAGAATTATACAAAAAAAGATGGATTATAAGTCTGAATGGCAGGTTGTAAGTCCAATGATTGGTCATTAAAATGAGGAATATCAATATAGTGACCTCTCACTTAACCGTGGAGGTTATGTTCCAGACATCCCCGTGATAAGTGAAAATCAGCAAAGTAGTGATGTTATATTTATTTTAGTATTTATATATATTTGAAGGTTTTATAAACCCCTCCCACACTAATAAACCTTTTCCACACTTAAAAAAAACTTCTAATGTTCTTAAACTCGTAAACCTGTGTAATTTTAATGGCATGTATGCTGTATGAACAGTATGTATTCATCTATTATAGAGATACTGTAAACAATGTATTTTGATTTAATATTTTAATATATTAGAATTAACATTTTAGTATATTTTTATATATTAAAAATTTTTTAGGAAAAAAATCACTAAAACCATAAATACTGTGCATATAAATGCATAAATAGTACTGTATACTACCACAAAATCCTGTGATACAGCAAAAAATCTGCAATAAATAATTTAAATTAAGTTTTTTAAAATCCTGTGAAATAGTCCATGACAGTTGAACTGTGAAATAGTGAGGGACTACTGTATTCAATTCTATGTGCAAAATCTCCATAGATTTCTCAGTGAGTATATTATCTAAAGTACTATATGGACAGTACTGTGTTTTTGAGGTTTTTTTTTTTTGTTTGTTTGTTTGTTTTTGGTGCCCAGGACTGAACCCAGGGTTTCCAGGTTGCTAGGCAAGCATTGTATCTCTGAGCCATATCCCCAGCCCCAGTACTGTGTATTTGGAAAACCACTGTACTGTGTTTTTTTTGTACAGTGTATTTTTTTCTGATATCTAACCCAGGTGGTACCTGTAGTAATATAATATATAGTACTTTTTCTTGATCAGTAGTGTTGTAAGATCTGGGTACCTTGTTCTGTATTGTACTTTATTGTATGAGATGTCATCAAAATGGAAAGGAATGCATTCACCAGGAGAAAGCAAGAAATAAGGCTATTAATTTTGACAGGAACGTGAAGAACATAATCAACTATGAAGCTGGTAAAAAAGTTAAAAGCAGTAGCGCAGTACTGGAATTTGATGCATTCAACCATTTCAGCAATCCTGGAGGATAAAAACAGAATGAAAAAAGGAGTGAAAGTGTCAGTAGGTTTTAAAACCATAGAAGAAGACTGGTGAGATAGCTCAGTGAACTAAGCACCTGCTTAGGCAAGGGCAGGGGCTGGGAGTTTGATCCCTGGTATTGTATGCCACACAGGCCACACAGGCCCTGCCCCCAGGTACGGTGAGCTGGCCACCAAGTCCTGGTGTGGTTTCAGTGCTTTTGTTGGAGTTTTAGCCTACATATCTGGAATGTTAATGATGAAGCAAATGCAGGTATATAAACAGCAGAAAAATTTCTGGACTAATTTGGTAAAATCAGAGAAAGGCCGCTACTGTACAGAACAAAACTTTGATGTGGATAGCACTGGGCTTTTTGGACGAAAATGCCTGAAAGGTTCTATATAGATAAGCTGAAACAGTGCCCTGATTCACAGCTTTTCAAGGACAGAGTTATGTTGCTGGGAGGAAATATTACTGGGTTCCAGTTGAAGCTTTTCCTTATCTGTCCTTGAGAACCCATGTGGGTTGAAGCAGGTTAGTAGCACGTGCTGTTTGTTTACTATAGAGCAAATAATGAAACATAGGTGATGCCAGCCTTATTTGAAGATTGGTTCATCAACTGATTTCTACCTTCAGTGAGGTTTTACTGTCTGGAAAATGGCATTTTGTTTAAATTACCCTCATGTTTCATAATGCTCAGCATCTTTTTTAAAAAATGTATTTGGTTGTTATAGCATCTCACTGCTGTAGCTTAGACTCATAGTGATCCTCCTATTTTCAGCCATAATGGCAGGACTCTGTTGCTGGCTCAGCCTGCCCTGGAGGTGGGGCTGGCACAGCTTGTGGTGTTGGGATCTAACTGGTCCCAGCACTTGGCTAAGCTTGCCTAAGAAGGTGCTTTAGTCTGCTGAGTTATTTTGCTGGTCCCAATGCCCAGCATCTTGATCATAGTAGCCCCAGATATAAAGGTAGTGTATCTGCCTAGAAGCATAACTGCTATATTATAGCTAGCCCATGGATTAGGGAACCATACCTTCCTTCAGAATGTACTATTAGTGCACAACTTACTTCAAAGCTGTAGCAACAACAGAAAACAATGAAGTAACCCTTAGTGATTTGTGGAAATCATATACCATTTTAGACTACATTAAGAACATTAAGTCATCTTGGGAAGGAATGACAGAACAGTATATGCAAGGGATATAGAAAAAAGGCCAAAAACATTTTATGCATAATTTATTTTTAAAGACTACAAAATATTGATTGAAAGGAAAAACAACAGCATTAGAAATGATGCAAGATTTCACTAAACAAAAGTAATAGGAATTCAACAATGGTTGCTGTATTACATGATGCTATCTTCAAATTAGTTGCTCAGCTTACCAGATATAAAGATGTAAGATTTGTTTAAAGAAAACAATTTAGAATCATTTGACAAGATAAACATGTCAGTGTCATAAACAACTGTGGAACTTGTTAACATGCTTAATTTGGAGATTGAAGGGCAAAATATTGAAGAATCAGTGGAATATATTGAGGGAGAGCTCAGTATGGAAGATTTAATAGAGTTGGAAGCACAACAGGACTTAAAAGAGGGGGAAGAAGAATAAAAAATTGAAAAAGTACCAAAGAAGTCCACTGCAAAGGTATTAATTAGCAAGTGTGTTCTCAAAAGTGAATGCAGTTATATTACGACTAGAAGCTGTGGATCCAGAAGTTGAATGTTTCACAGAAGTGGAATGGCAAATGAGTGAACTTTTATGATGCTGTCCTGAAGTTTATAAAGCAAAAATAGAAAATGACAAAACAAACCATAATAATGGTATTCTTCATTTTCTTTTGGTTACTTGAGACAAGGTTTTGCTATATATTTCATGCTGGCCTTGAACTCACTGTGTAGCCTAGGCTGGCATCAAACTTCTAGTAATCCTCCCACCTTAGCCTCCTTAGGGCTGGAGTCACAAACCTGCTGCATTATCCCAGTGCGATTCTTCTTGAAAGCTACACATAGGACTTGTAGTACTAGTTCTTTTATTTCTACTCTGTCATCTCCCTTGTCTGGACCCTTTACATTTCCTGATCATATAATTTTGATGATAGTACTAGTGGGACTTTGAAGGACCCATGACTAAAATGTTAGCTTGAATGTCTGTTTATATGATACCTCTTGTTTATACAGCATTCTAATTTTTGCTGATTGTACTGTATAATATGCCATACAGTTTTATGTTCTATTATATGTTGTATCACTACATGTAAGAGCTATGCAAAAAAAGCAAAATCATCAAATTAGAGTTTCCTTTGACCATTTCTTTGTTTTAAATATAATAATTACACTCTACATATATAATTCTCATCTAGCGACCAACTCATTTAACAACCTACTTACAGGAATGGAACTTGGTCATAATTGCCTGTATTCTTCATTTTGAAGTTCTTTGATGTTATGTGTCTCAGGCTTCTGAGTTTTCTCATCAGAATTCCTAAAATTCCCCTATTATATAATGTGCAGTATGCATAGTAACTTTTTTTGTGTGGTACTAAGGATTAAACCCCCAGGGTGTTGCACATGCCAGGCTAGGCAAGTGCTCTAGTCCTGTGCTACATCCCCAGCCCTTACATCCTTTTCATGTAACAGTTTCCGAAAGTGGGCGGACTATGCCACCATTGTGTTTATTTACTTATCTATAAGTTTTCCATCTTCATACATGTGTAGCATTGCCTTGGTTTTCATTTCACTGTTAACTAAAGATGTTGAGCTGCTTTATTTTTCAAAGTCCCACCAGTGCTATGTCTGTTTGCATCCAGAAAACTCAAGTGCTTAAATCATTTGGAAAAAGTTGGGCTATTTGTTTTCTTATTGGGATTTGCATGTGTCCAAATGTGTTCCCAGGCACCAGTTATGTGGTGGCTTGCAGTATCATCTCAGCCTGTGACATTTTTAGCAGCAGATTTTAGTAGTATTTTGCAAGGAACATGCCCCCCCAACTCCAAATTATTATCTTTGCTTTTGTAGATAATATGGTGTCACATTTTAGAAACTTTGCCTCCCCAGACATTGATTCAGTACTTACAGATAATTAGCATGTACTTGTTATCAGTTTCTACTGGTTTTCTGTCATTTTTGTTGTATATCCAGATTTTTAATTTTTTTAAAATTTTATTTATTTATTTTTGCATGTTTGGTATAGGGTCTCACTGTGCAGCTTAGACTCATAGTGATCCTCCTGTTTTTAGCCTCCCCAGTGCTGGGTTTACAGGTGTGTGCCACCATGCCTGGACTCGATCGCAGGCTCAGCGTGCCCCAAGGGTGGGGCCAGTGAGGCATGCAGGACCTGGGATGGAACCCTGGTCCCTGCGCCTGGCAAAGCTGGTGCTTAATCTGCTGAGCGATCTTGCCAGCCGTATTGTTATTCTTTTTGTACCAAGATTTTAAGTACTGTATTTCATTGAAGAGTCATTTTTAATGAGACACTATTAAAACTAGAGTGATATTTAAACAGCATTGTACCATGAACCATCAGTTCTAAAATAGTCTAGATTTGGGAAATATTAAAATATGAAAAAAACTTAGAATTATTGAAATGAGTTTTCTTAGAGGGAGGAAGGGATGGTATGTGTGGTTATGACCACTGCCTGAGGTCTAGAACCTGGGTTTTGGTCACTCCTGAGAAAACAGTTACATATTACATAATGCTACATGTGTGGGTAACTTTTGATCTTGATCCAAGAGGAAAAACTGACCGTATCTTGAAGAGTGGGCAAAACTGTGTATTTTTGAGAGTTCTATAACTAGAGAGGATCGGAATCAACCATAGATTGCTGGGTGCCACAACCGCGCAGTGAGCATCTAGTGAAGTAGTCTGTCCTGGTCTTGGCACCCTTGTTTTTGGACTGAGAGTAGGTATTTTGCTCTAGACTCTGATGGCACAGAGATATCCATGTGGCCTCTAGTCATTCTAAACAGCTAAAAAGCAGGTTTTGCTGATAGAAGATAGGTAGATCCTCAGTTGGTCAGCTGTTGTGTTGTCTGTTTATAGGCCCTGAGCTTGTGAATGCCCCCAAATGTGAATTAATAACAATTCCATATGTTCAGTATTATGCCTATGGGCCTTTCCTTATTTCAGGACTTTCCTGTGTGTGTGTGTGTGTGTATGTGTATGTGTGTATGTGTTTAAAATTACTGTTTGTCAGTATTTTGGGCATCTGGATCCACTTAGTACCATTTGTTAGGCTCTTTCTGTTTCTAGTAATAGGGCAGTTAAAATAAACAGTAATGAGTTAATTTGAAAGCCAGGTCAGTTGTAGATATATTCTAAAAATTGTAGAATTTGAGTTAAGAATGACTGTTATACTAAGAAAATGAGAGAAAGTGAATGAGTATTGGTGTAACTTTCTGTTGCAGAAAGTTAAATATGTAAGTTTATTTCAGCTGATGCAGTTAATTCAAAGAATAGGGCTAAGATTTATGGCTTTAAAGTATAGCTTAGATGGGTCAGCAAACAATTTTGGGCCAGGTTCTATATTTTTATGGCCTACAAGCTAAGAACAGTTGGTAGGTATTTAAATATTTAAGTAAAGAGAAACAAAAAGAATGCTTTTGTGACATGTAAAAATTGTATGAAGTTGGAGTCAGTATCTTTAAATAGTTTCATTGGACCATAGCTCTGCCCAGACACTTTTTTTCATGGATCCTTGTATACCCACTGTGGTGGCAGTGAGAGGCTGGGTAGTTGCTTCAGAGATTGCATGGGAAGCCCACCAGCATAAAGTATCATTGTCTGACCCTTCATTTAGAAAAAGTCTCCAAGTCCTGGCTTGGAAAAAAGTGTTCTTTAGAGGTTGATAGTGTCAAAGCATGTAATGTGGGAAGAAGGAAGAGAATAGCACACATACACCACAGGAAAGTGCCTTGGTAACTTGCTTCCTCTAAGACTTTCTTTTCTTTTGACAGAGATACCGAACAAAGCCATACTGTTGTAATCTCTGCAAATACTCAACAAAAGTGCTCACTTCACTCAAAAATCATTTACATCGTTACCATGAAGATGAGGCTGACCAGGAGCTGGTGATCCCCTGCCCCAACTGTGCATTTGCCTCACAGCCCAAGGTGGTGGGAAAGCACTTCAGAATGTTTCATGCCCCTGTTCGCAAAGTCCAGAACTACACAGTGAATATTTTAGGTGAGACTAAATCTTCTAGGAGTGATGTGATAAGTTTCACGTGTTTAAAGTGTAACTTTTCAAATACTTTATACTATAGCATGAAGAAGCATGTGCTGGTGGCCCATTTCCACTACTTAATTAACTCTTACTTTGGGCTGCGAACTGAGGAAATGGGGGAGCAACCAAAAGCAAATGATGCGCTTTCAGTGGACAAGATGGCCACATCTGACAGATACTACTGTAAAAAATGCAACGCCAATGCCAGCAGCCAGGATGCTCTAATGTACCATATCTTGACATCAGATATCCACAGGGACTTGGAGAATAAGCTTAGATCTGTGATTTCAGAACACATTAAGAGAACCGGATTTTTGAAGCAAATGCATATTGCTCCAAAACCAGTGGCCCGGTTGGCCATACCTCCACACACCAGTGCTGCAGGCATAGCAGCCCCCAGTCCCTGCTTTCATCTCGCTTTGCCACAGAACAATCAGAGTTCAGCTGTGGTGCAGCCAGTGACGGTGGCCCCAGGCACCTCTGGGACCCTTACTCATTCCTCGCCTGCTGTTGCCCAGTCCCACGTGGCTCTAGTCTCCAGTCCTTTGCCTGTGTGCCAGAGCGGCCTCACTCTACAGCCCTCAGCACCTCAACCTGTCTTTCTTTCTCATAGGCTTCCACTTAATCAGCCTGTGAATTTTCCTGTGCTGCCTCTGAATCAGCCAGGTGGGTCTATAAATAAGTCTGTTGGGACAGGTGTCCTTCCAATGAATCAAGCTGTCCGGCCTGGTGTGTTACCCCTCACCCAACCTGGGGGATCCATAAGCCGACCTGTTAGGCCTAGTGTCCTGCCCACAAGTCCCTCTGTCACCCCTGGGGTTCTGCAGGCTGTCTCACCAGGGGTGATTTCTGTGGGTCGGGCGGCCCCATCAGGGGTCCTCTCTGCAGGCCAGATGACGCCTGCTGGGGTTATTCCTGGACAGACAGCAACTTCTGGGGTCCTCCCAACTGGCCAGGTAGTCCAGTCAGGGGTTCTTCCTGTTGGTCAGACCGCTCCCTCTCGGGTTTTCCCACCTGGCCAGACAGTTCCCTTAAGGGTTCTCCCTGCAAGCCAGGTGGTTCCTTCTGGTCTACTCTCTCCTAACCAGACGGTACCCTCAGGTGTCATCCCTGTGAACCAGGGTGTGAATTCTGGTGTTCTGCAGCTCAGCCAGCCTGTTGCATCAGGAGTCCTTCCTGTGGTCCCACCGGTGAGGCCTGGTGTGCTGCAGCTTAGTCAATCTGTCAGCACTAGCATCCTGCCTGTGAGTCAGCCAGTAAGAGCGGGGACATCGCATAACACCACCTTCCTCACATCAGGCTCTATTCTCAGGCAACTTATCCCAACTGGGAAACAAGTGAATGGGATTCCTACCTACACACTGGCTCCTGTGTCAGTGACCTTGCCTGTACCTGCTGGTGGTGGCGTTGCAACTGTTACCCCACCCCAGGTGCCTGTCCAGCTCCTGCCATCAGGTACAGGTGGGCAGATGGCTAATTCGCTACCCAACCTGCCTTCACCACAGGTGCTAGTGAGTGCTGCCCAGAATGTTTTTGTTCAGGCCCCCTCACCTGTGGTGGACACAAACGAGGTGCTCAAACAGGCCAAACAGTGGAAAACCTGCCGGGTTTGCAATGAGCTCTTTCCATCTAACGTCTACCAGGTTCATATGGAAGTGGCTCACAAGAATAGTGAGTCCAAGCTCTGCCGGGTTTGCAATGAACTCTTACCCTCCAACGTCTACCAGGTTCACATGGAAGTGGCCCACAAGCACAGTGAGTCTAAGTCCAGTGAGAAACTTGAACCTGAAAAACTGGCAGCCTGTGCACCCTTTCTGAAGTGGATGAGGGAGAAAACTGTCCGTTGCCTCTCCTGCAAGTGCTTGGTCTCGGAGGAAGAACTGATGCATCATTTGCTTATGCATGGCTTAGGGTGCTTGTTCTGCCCTTGCACTTTCCATGACATTCGGGGTCTGTTGGAACACAGCAGGGCTAAGCACCTTGGGAAGAAGAGGCTGCCTATGGATTATAGTAACAGGGGTTTCCAGTTGGACCTTGATGCTAATGGCAACCTGTTGTTTCCCCATCTTGATTTCATCACTATATTACCAAGGGAGAAGCTTGGGGAACGGGAGGTCTACCTGGCCATCCTTGCTGGGATCCACTCCAAGTCACTGGTGCCTGTGTATATTAAGGTGAGGCCTCAGCCTGAAAGCATGCCCAACAATCCCAGCAAACAGAAGCTGACCTGCCCCTTCTGTTTTGGTGCCTTTGTGACAGCTGATGCTTATGAGCTGCACCTGAAGGAGAGGCACCATGTCATGCCAACAGTTCACACAATGCTCAAGTCTCCAGCCTTCAAGTGTATCCACTGCTGTGGGGTCTACACGGGAAACATGACCCTGGCGGCCATTGCTGTTCATTTGTTGCGTTGCAGAAGTGCTCCCAAGGACAGCAGCTCAGACTTGCAAATCCAGCCAGGTTTTATTGAGAGCAGTGATTTGGTGTTGGTCAATGGGGAAGTGATTCCTGATTCTACCTTCCCTATAAAGAGAAAGTTGCCAGATGGCCATCTGGGGACGGAAGAACAGAGAGCTGGGGAGGAATCACCGCTTGTCATAAATGCTGAGGCAGCCCCAGGTCTGGAGAAAGGGACAAGTGCTGTGCCTTTGAAGAGACAAAGGAATGAAAGTAGGACAGAGGGACTGGTAGCTAATGATGATGCATTTCAGGTTTTAGTATTGGATCCTAAAAAGTACGAAGGCCGTTCATATGAGGATAAAAAGCAATTTCTCAGAGATTATTTCCATAAGAGACCGTATCCGAGTAGAAAAGAAATAGAACTGCTCTCTTCACTCTTATGGGTGTGGAAGATTGATGTGGCTTCATTTTTTGGAAAAAGAAGATATATTTGCATGAAAGCAATAAAAAACCAAAAGCCCTCTGTACTTCTAGGCTTTGATATGTCTGAACTTAAAAATGTTAAACACAGATTGAACTTTGAGTATGAACCACAAAACTTGTAAGTGTAGTACTAGGCAGTGGTTTTCAACTGAGGTTTTGAATATGTTCTCTCTCACTGTGTTAAGAGTTGTCAGTGTCAGTGTCTTTATGCTGCTTTTCAGGTATTTCAGGTGCTCAGAAAGACTTCTGTTAAGGAAATGAATAGTTTTTCAGATTTATTGTTTCCTGCAATTTGATTTGTAACAGTTATTCCCCCTTTGCCATGTAAATTATATCTTTTGGTATTCCATGCACGCCTTGTTTTCTCAGTAGTGTCAGTATCAGATGATGAAAAGAAAACCCTGAAATTGCAAATACTTTTTTTTAATTTTAGGAAATTTCAGCTTGTTTGAAAATATTTGATTAGTTGAAAATTAAAGTATTGCTCTTCCTCAGCTTTTACAGGTAGTACCTAATGACACATACTATTTAGAGATGCAAGTACAGCTCTGTGATGTGTATGATTCCCTAAGGACACACTGCATTAACTCTTGGTGATTGTTGTTTGTAAGCTGTTTGCTTATGAAATTATAATTTTGGTTTACACTTTTTCAGTTTTGTCCTGATACTTTTGTTTTTTAAATCTTAACTCATAGAATACCAAATGTTTTCATTTATTAAAAATATAATGAGTCAGAGGTCTGGTGTGTAGCTCATAATCACATGTTGTTTTATAAATGAAGTCATTACAGGAGCAGAAATAGGCTCCATTATACTTTCCCTTTTGATACAGTGACAAGTCATTTCTCCATTCAAAGGTAAGACAATGAATCTTTAGTGCCTTTAGAATAAATTTTGAGAAAATATACCCAGAACTCTTCTACCATGAACTGCTTATAAACTAGTGGGTGAAGGAGACCATGTTACTCCAGAATGAAACTTCCACCCTTGTATATGGTTTCAGGCATAAGATGAAGTGAAAAGATCAAGAACACAGTCTTCATTGTTGGGATTGCCAGGGGTAGACATATTAGTACTAGGGAAATGGGTTTTCCTTTGGCCTACTTGTCCAGGTGAATGGGACATCTGATTGCTAAAGAGTCTCTGATTTATAATGTCAGGCCTCATTTTTCCCATACAATATTAAAATAAAGCACCAGAACTAGCAATGTAGACTACCCCATTCATATTCTGAATTGTACTGCTTGTGATAATGCAGTGGAGGAGACTGTCCGACATGTTTTCAGGTAGAAGTGTCTGGAGCGTGGGACAGCCTCTGGGAAATAGTACAGTGTTGCTATATGGACTTTAAAAAATATTAATGCTTGCATATAATTGCTGTAATGTGCATTGTTGAGACTGTTGTGAAACTGGTCTGTGACTGTTGGTGTACTCTGTTGTAAATTCAGAGAGAGCTTGTTGGACTTTATTTTTTTTAACCTATTGTTTTCAGAGTGTCTATTTTGAATTAAAATTTGTTACACTACTGCAAATAGAATTGCTTATTTTTTTTAGCATTAAAGTATTACCTAGAGCTAGGCATGTAGTATATACCTTCTCAGCTACTTACAACGCTAAAGAAAGGAGGATCACTTGAGTCCAGAAGTTTGAGGCCATCCTGGGCAACATAGCAAGACCCTGTCTCAAAAACAAAAGTTAATATGATGCAGAGGACATCTATACCACATTTATTCTCTAAAGAGCATTACTTACAACCCAGGAATGGTGCTACCTGCCTATAATCCCAGCACTTTGGAAAGCTGAGCAGGATTGCAAGTTCAGGTTTAGCTTGGGCAACTTGACAACTTCATGAGACCCTATGTGAAAATAGAAAGTTTGGGGATGTAACTCAGTGTGAACATCCCTAGCTTTTGTCTCCAGGAATGCCAATAAAGGGGATGTGTATTAAGTTTACTTATGTTGTAAAAATAAGCAAACTTGAAAACACTGATTAATTCCAGAATCACAAAATAGATATGGCTTGTATTAATTATTTTATTGGTACTCTAAGAGCAAAAAGGATTGTTTTGGTTCATTGTTTTGGAGGTCCAGACCTGAGGAATCCATATTTTAGCTTTCTTGCTGGCAGAGTCCTGTAGTAAAAGGCGAAAGATTTATACGATCTGAAGAGAAACCAGAGTATGAGAGTCCTGTAGTTAATGCATGGCATTTCATGGTGAGACAGGGAGTTTGTATGGTGTGTATGTGTGCTGTCCTGGTGTCCCAGTGAAGCCCCCAAGATTCAGTCAGCAAGCTTTCTTTGCTAACTGTAATCCTAATCATGTTCTAAAAGGTCTTACCTCTAAATACCATAGTCAGATTCAGTTTTTACCCTCCTAATGCCTTATCCCTGGACATGCAGACCATAGCATAACTAGAGATTACTGATGTTTTCGCAGTGGAAGTCCTCAAATTACCAAGGAAGATTTATAACTGATTATTGGGTTATGAAATTTGCTCTTACTATGACTATGCTCAGTGCCAGTGTGGAGGAGACCAAGTCTGCAGGTACTTGCAGTGCGCAGTCTACTGCCCATTGAGGTTTAATCTTTGCCTGCCCTTTGTCATGTATGTTAGGCTTTCTCAGCTGCACACTACTGAGGTTGTGGGCCAGATAGTTCTTTATGGTGACTGTCCTACCCACTGTATTCTTGCCTTTCACCTGACAAAAATTAGTAGCACATTGTCCACTCACAGAATCATCACTAAAAATACCACTTTAAAGTGATAACCTAGTTAGGAAGAAAGCCCTGAGATGAACCGTTGCTACAAAGGTAATATGGTTTTTGATTGTATTTTTTATTGCACGCCTTGATGCCAAAGGTTTTAGTGTTACGGTAGTTACTGGTTACTAAAGAATTTTTTAGTGACATAGATCAAAATTTGGTAAAAGCTGAGCTTAAGAAAGAATATGTGGGTGTTTTTGTCAGTGCAAATACATGGATTTATTGCTGAAAATAGAGAAACAAGCTCAGATTAATAAGCCCTATTGGTAAATAAACACTAACCACTTAATATTTGCTAGGAAGTGGGCTGACTAATGGTTTCCATCTTTGGTTTTTTCTCTGTGTTCTGGACTGTTTCAGTATGTGTCTACCCTTTAACAGCCAGTCTTACAAAATGAAGGCCTCCCATTTTACACATCAGGAAATAGTGATGTGCTGTTAGGTAACTTGCCTATGAGAGAGAACTCATGAAGTGGGCAAGTGTGGGCTCTATCTATCTAATGGATATGTGTTAATACTATACCTGTATTTAAATTTCACTGTAATTCTATGTAGGCATTACTATGTGAGTACTTTAGGCTCAGGTACAGTGGCTAGCTGTTCTAGTTTGTTTAGGATTAGAGGGAGTTTTTAGACTTACAGTACTAAAACTGGACCATACCAGGCAGGCATTCAAGTTTCATTTTACTTGCCCAGGATGACAAGTCACTAAACAATGATACAACACTATAGCATCTTCAAATCTTTACTTTGTGTATCAGGATGCATAGGGCAGGGGCTGGGAAGATAGCTCAGTAGAATAAAAGCCTGCCTGGGAAGTGCAGGGTCCTGAGTTCAATCCCTTGTACTGGGAAAAAAAAAAAAAAAAAAAAAAAAAAAAAAAAAAAGCGCAGGGCATGCTGGCCAGAGTTCTAGATGATGATAACCATCTTTCTGGTAACATCAACAGTAATATAAGATGATCGCTAGAGTATTTACAGGTACCATTTGAAAGACTGGGTAATAAACTTTGTGTTGACATAATTGGTTAATGAAGAATGAAAGGAGGGAAGGTCCTGGTAGAATTAAAGATGTACATAGCTTTGCTATTTGGATGTGTAGTAACTTTCCCTTTATGACTCAGTCCCTGCTAAATCTTTATTATCTATGGAGTCATTTCCATCTGTGAAATACTGCTAGAAATGTTTATAGCTTGCTGAACTTTATTATCCTGTTGGTCCTCATAGTCCTGATTTTCTCAAAGTGGGCTTTTCCCTGAGTAGCCCTTTCAGTATCAATCTTGGTACTCCTAATTCCACGGTTACTTGGTGGCTTATCTACTAACTTTGGCCTCTGCAGTTCAGGTTTCTGTTATATAAGTACTAAATCCAGATTCAGAGTTGTTCTAATGCTTGATAACATCCTTGTGAGTTCATTAAGTTGGTTCTTTTAAAATACTTTAAGTCTCCTAACCTTTCAATATATCTGCCTCAGTAATGTTAGTATAAGGTGTACTTTCTGAGATGTTAAATATGGATGCAGTTCATTATTCAGCATGAAAAATGGTAAAATTCTATTAGAGACCTGACTAATAATAAAGTTAATAAAAAAAGATTAGGGACATTGTGTCTATAAACTTTTACTTATTTAAGTCATACTTGGAAAACCTTTCAGTGTATCTTTACAGCTGTAAACTGTGTAGTGTACTTTTCAGGTGTAGTGTAGTACAGCTTCCCAGTTCCTGGGACACAGTGTCTGACCCCCATAACTTAAGAAGAGTGGTTTATTTTGGTACGTATTTACAGAGAGTCTGTGGTCAGCTAGCTTCATCATGGAGGAAGTGTGTGGCAGAGAAAAACTGTATATGTTATGGCTTCTGGGAATCAAAGCAGGGGGAGCAGTACCAGGGACAAAGGGGTCAGGAATTGTATATAGTGCTGAAGGACATATCCTCATGCAGACATAGCCAGAAGTGTTTTACTAATCCCTTGGGTGGTGCCCAAACCAATGAAGGTGACAGAGATGAGTTTAACCTTCACATATAGGTTTCTAGAATTTGTCAAAATTAGTGATGTAGCAAGCATTTAAATATGTCTCTTACACTGTAGGCTGTTGGGAGTATAATATTTATTTTCAGTCCATCTTCACCCTCTTCCAATCTGCTGAATGCAAAAACTTCCCTAAAGATTAAAACACTAATGTTTGATTCCTTGGCAGATGCTGATATAGAGTCAACATGAATGAAAAAGATAGTAACTAGGTCAAATAGGTTTTTCTTTTTTTTATCTGATGCAAATTTAATTGACATCTGGCTATTGAATAGTCTAATTTAAAATCCAAATATCTTAATAATTTAAATATGAGGCTATATCTTAGTGTTTAAATTTTAACAGTGTTTGAAATACAAACCAAATACACCACATCTCATAACCATAAAACCTTTTTTTTTTTTTTTTGGTGGAACCAGGTATTGAACTCAGGACCCTATGCTTGCCAGGCAAGTGTTTATTCAACTGAGCTATCTCCCTGACCCCTCATAACCATAAAACTTACTGACTCTAGTTAGGTCCTTAAAAGCCCTGCCTCTAGCTTTGTTCTATAAGAAACAAACACTATTTTAAGATGAAATAAATTCTTATTTTTCATTTATGAATGGAATCTCTAGTTTTCTATCTCTCTGGTCCATAGTTTTTAATTCTTTATGAGCAGTATTCATTGATTACTAGCTTGATAATTTGAGAAGCATAATTATTTTCACCTCAGATTTTTTTAAAGCTGGAACAGATTGCTAAGTAAAGGTAGCCATTACACTTGGTAAACTTGGGGCTTTTATTCTTTGCTTCCATTAATATCATGATGCACTCAGGAAAAAATGTGCTCAGATGTGGTTAGCTGACTTTGTTATGTGGCCTTCAGGGAGTCCTTCAAATATGATTTGTTGCTTCCTGTGCTCTTACCATAAGCTGTTCTCAAGCCATAGGTAAGCAAGATAGCATGTGAAAAGTGATGATTGCAAGAGTGTGCAAAGGGAGAGGGAAGTTTCACCGACAGGCCAGCTGGGGCCAGGGCAAATCTTGAGTGTTACAACCAGAAGGGTATACTTGCCACTTTCTTGAAGCCAGTTTTGTCTCCATTTCTGATTGATATTCCACATCCCTGTTGGATCTTGTCTATGGTAGAGGGAACATGAGCAGCATGGTCTTGTCCTCTTGTCCTCTGAGAGCTCCCAGCCCTGGATCTGTACTCCTGTGCCCTGGGTGCACTGTGAGTGGGACTGAGGAGCTTAGGGTTTGTGGAAGCAGGTGGCATGAAAGCTGCATTTTCAGAGTGGAGGGACTGCAGGCAGAGTGGTGCCTCTTCAGGACAGCAGCAATATGAGGTGACTAAGGAAGCCATTCCTGAGGCGCACCACCCATTTGAGGAACTCTAGAAAGAGTGTCAAAAAAATTGGACTTAACAGATTTTAAATTCAAGTTCGATAAGCTGAGAGGTTCTTGAATAATTTTGCTAGATAAATGAAGTTGATAAAACCAACATGACAGTTAAACATCCAGAGCTTCAATACCCTTTTATTCTTCTCCCTTACTTTCTCTTTCTCCTGCCCTGAGGCAGAGCTGGGACTTGGTGGGCAATGGAAGGGAGTTGCAGTGCCTAGAGCTGGCTGTGGAGTTCAGGAAGATGAGAAAGGTCAGAGTAGGGAAAGAATGGACACTGTTATACATGACTCAGGGTATCCAGTAGGAAGGGCTGAGGGGCTGAGTGGCTGAGAAGTATGTAGGGCTGTGAGGTCCAGTTGTGGAAAGAGGCTTGTGGGCGTGTAGGGCTTGGAGATGAAGGAAGAGTTTCACCATGCTGAGGGGAGAGAGGTACTGAGGGCAGGGAGACTGATCAGCATATACTTTAGATAATTGAAACAGGTTTCTTGCAAATAAGCAAAGAGAAAAGTGATAGGTTAAACCTTTAGAATTGGGTTGAAATGGAAGGCAGTAGTATCAGTATCTACAGTTAGAAATTAGTGGAGATAAAAATGTGCACATGCATGTGTGTGCACATATATATAAGACTTTTTTTTCAGGAGCGCTGCCAGATTTGACACAATCCTAAAAGGACCCACAGGACTCTGATGTTGTTTTACTTGTGCTGCAATTTCTCAAAGGCTTCAGGCCAGCACCTCTTGAGGTGAGGTCTAAAGGAAGCTGGGTCTGAGAATCAAAGTGGCCTTTTCCTGAGAAGTCACACAGATGCGGATGTTCTTAACATCCAGCCAGTAGGCTGTGACGAGTTAAGTGCCCTCACAAGGGGCTATCACAGGGGATCTTCGTGGAGTCTTGAGAACTGCATGGTTATTGGGGTATTAAGTCTCAAGTGCACAGAAGGCTTAGAAGGAAAGTGGGTTCACTGTTAGTCTTGTACAGATTGTATACAATATACTTGTTGATGAACACATTCCCAGAGGTTACTCCCAAGAGACAGCTGACCACCTGATCTCAATGCTGCAATGCCAAGAGAAGACTTAAGACTTGGAGGAGTCAGAGCCTAATGGGAGGTCCTTAGGTGACTGGCTTTGCCTCTCTGGGATCGATTATTTGTCAAGGACCCTTAACAGGTTTCCCCTGAACCTGGTCCCTGAGTTGCTCTTTGGCTTCCTGCCAGTGATGTGATACTTTTAGTGGTCCCTGCACCCCATATGCACTTCAACCGTGGTGCTGGCCACAGAAACATGATTTGAGTAAGCCTTTACCTTTGAAGTGACTCAGGTACAAGTGTTTATTCTTAGTAACAGAAAATAGGCAAATACAAATTGCTTGATTTTATAATTGCATCAAAGTTCAAGGATTTATCTCTGCCTAACTCCATTTACTATGTCTTTAATGGGAGTATTTGTAACTGTGTGACAGGTACACTTGAGTCCTGTCTGTGGCAAAGCCTCCCAACACCAGAAAAGTGATTCTAGGTCCAGGGACTGGAATGCATCTGTGCATGGATTTGGAAAGTATATGGGCTAAGTGTTCTGGGAGGTAAATGTGGAGGAGGAAGGAGAAAGGCAGATCAGGTGGTGGCATGGCATTACAGCATGGTGATGAAATATTGGACAGCAGCTTGTATAAATTACAGAATCTGCAACAGCGCCTAATGACAAAGACCTTGTATACTTTGAAAGAGCCCTCAGTCATGAGAGCAAACTACTTTCCTGGTAATTTCAGGAGGGTCTTGGCCAGTGGTTCTGTCCTTCCTGGGTGGCAGAATCGACATTACTTGTCAACTTGTTGGGACTGAAGATTCTCAGACCCCATCTAGATCTGAGTCAGAGTCTTGGGGTGGGCTGGCATGTTCCCTGAACAAACCCCAGTCTGTCTGCAGTGGCAAGGCCTTGTGCTTCTGCTGAGCTGCTAGCCTTCCCAAAGAAGTAAGGCTAGGCCTCAGCTCAGCAGGCTTAAATTCTTAGGAAATGGTGTATTCCACATGGTCATGGGATGCTTCAGGCTCATGTTCCTCTAAGTTGGCTGCTGAGACTGCTTTCTTTTTAAAGCCATTTCAAGAAACTTCACTACTGCATTTAATGTTTTTCCTCCAGTAGAAAAACCTGCCATCCAGGCTAGTGCCTGTTTTCTCACACAAAGGTTCAAAGGGGGCCTGCGATAGAGAAAGGTTGGTTATACAGTGTTACTCATGGTCTGATTATTTCATGCAAAACTGTAAGACACCAGATGATCCCTGATTTGTGATTAAAAAAAAAAAAATCCCATCATCCACTGGTAGGATGGTTCTTTCATGCAGCACAGATGCTTTTGGTTTGTGATGTAGACCATCAGGCATGTGTGGCCTGTGCTCACACTCAAGCATCTGTATCTCTTACTGTACTGTGTTTTTTTTTTTAATAGAGTGTATCCAGCCCTAGTGCTGAACTGGCAGCTCGAACTCATCGGATTTCCAGTTACTTGCATATTCCCGAAGACACTTGTGAAGCTCGTGTAAGGCTGCATGGGCTTCTCCAGGAATTGGTTGTGCTTACTGCCACCACTGTATATGTGATTTCAGTAACCTTTGATGGGCTGCAATATACATTTAGTAATGTCAGAATGACAGTGAACACTGCAAACCATGGTAATTTCAGGAAGGCTGTGTAAATGTTCAGAAAAGCTTTTCCCAAAGGACTTGAAGGCTTATTTGTAGAAAGGATTTCTCATCTGTAAAATGAGAATAATGAGGAGGATTAAGTGAAGAATTGTGGCTTGTGATAGGTACCTGGTAAAGACTGGTCCCTTGGGAGTGGTCAAGGTTGGTCATTGGCATGGATACTCTACCTTTGTTTAGAACACAAGTGGAATATATCAGTAATGCATTTTATTAACTCAGAAGCAAAATTTTATTCTTGTTATATAAAACAAAACAAACCTTTTAATATATGACTTTAAAAAAACCAGAAAATGGCAGAACTACAGACCTCGGTAGAAAAGTTCTAGCAGTTTGTAATTTTTACAATTACAAACAATAGGCATAAGTTCAGAGTAAGCTTTTTTTTAAAAAATACTGATTCATACTTGCCCTAACAATTAAAAATGGGCAGAAATACATTTTTCCTACTTGGTAACAGACTGTTATTCCAGATAGTAATCAAGCATTAGAATTTTGTTTCTATAGTACTCAGTAAAAAAACTCTGTTTCAGCCTTTGTGGTAGCGAAGGCAGTGCGCTTGCATTTCCTCAGCGCCCATGAATCTGGGAGGAGAGCAGATCTGGTGGGGAGGTATCTTAGTGAAAGCTACTTCTGCCCAGTAAATAGTTTCCGAAAGGAAAAGAATTTTCTCAAATGAACTGAAGACAAATGAAAATGCTGAGCTGCAGTTTCCATCTTGACAGTCATGAAATCAGTCAGTTCTGCCACTGACCAGCAGGTGGTGCAACACGACAAGGGGAGCAACATGTGGAGTAAACCCAGGGATATTTTTACCTGCATTTACATGAAAGATTTATTTGGTCAGAGTTTGTTCTTAAAGTATAAATGTAACATTTTTCACATGACATTCAAAACAAAACACATATTTCATATAAAATTAATTGGGTCAAACATAAATCCCTAAGAAGTTAAAAGTGACAAGGTATATTCTTGCCACTGAGCACTACACTAGGAATGGAAATTAGTGTGTATTAACTGTGACTTAGAACTGGCTGTTTTTAACAGTGAAGATATAACTGCATATACCCAAATGCCTGTTCTGAAGACTTCAGAGTCTGTGATTCACAGCCCTTATATCTAAAACTTCTCTAGAGCCAAATGACCCAGAAAAAGACCTGACACATCTCAGAATAAAATACTGGCTGTGAAGCACACATTGCTGAGGTATTGCCAAGCTTTACCTTCCAACCAGCCTTTTTCCTGGTTCTGGAAAGGCTGGCAACTTTGATGATGTCACAGATCCACAGCCAAGCCCACAGCTATGTGTTCTTGTGTGACATTTCCCTCACTAGTTTTTCTGAACTGGCTGTGAAACACTGAAAACTGAAATTCTTTTCCTGTGGTTATGTCACAGGTTTGGGTGCCACTGTCCTTATGAATAGTCTCTAGCTTCTTGTTGCAGCCTTGCCAGCAGGTCAGCAAAAAGCATGGGCATCAGAGAGTGTTTTTGCACCAGTTAAGGTAAAAATACCAACTTTACTATCTTAAAGGTTATTTTAAAGCTTCACTTTAGAAAATGAAGTATTTTCATAATTTAAAAATAAAGTTTGTTTTGCATTTACTCAGAAGTCTTTCTGGGACCTGTACTCAGGTCTGGCCCAAAGTGTATGCATGTGTATATAAGTTCTATGTAGAAATCCTATAAAAATAGACAGTATTTTTAATTGCTGTCCAGAAGTTAAAGAATACAGTTATAAGAGTGATTAAAAAAGGAAGTATACAGTTATTTTTCTTATTTTAAAATTGATATAAAAATGTAAAATATTTATCTCCCTTTGGAAATTTTTCTTTTGGTATCACTAATAGCATTACTAGCTCCTCTCAATGCTCTGCCACCTGTCATCATGGCCAAATGTCTGTGTGGGCCTTGGGCTCTGTGGCCTCCTCTGATGCCCTGGGTGCTACAGTGTGATAGCTGGCCCATGTTCCTCCACCCCACCTGGTGGGAGGATTAGGCTATTGCGAGGGTCAGACTTCAGGGAGCTGAGAAGTCTGTGAATGCTGCCATTGCTTTCTCGCCCAGAGCTGTGCAGGGCCAAGTCCCGGTGTAGCCTGTCCACAAGGCTAATGCCATTGGCTCGAGAGAGGCTGCTAGGAGGTACACTCTGTGTCTTGGGTATGTGTTGAGGCTCCAAGGCCCCTTCAATGACTATGTCGGCTTCCTCGTCACTCTCCATCTCATCAGGATGGAAGTTCTGTAGGACATGGGCAGCTGGCAAGCTGTGGTGGCTGGCAGTGCTGTCTGTGGACTGGCCAGAGCTGCCAGAAGTGCGGCTGCTTCGTACAATATTATTTCTCTGGTTGGCAGGCTTGACAGTGACAATGAGGTTGTGGCTATTGGCGATCATCATGTCTGTGACTTGATCGAGTGTCTTCCCAGCTACCTCAATGCCATTCACCTCCAGGACTTCATCATTCACAGCCAGCAGCCCAGTACTCTCTGCAAGGCCCCCAGGCACCATGCGGGAAATAAAGATGCCTGGAACCTTCTCTAGCCCATGCGGTGTCACCCGTACACTTGTACCGTCACGGATGTAGAAGCCCAGTGGCTTCTCGCAGCCATGTCTGTAAAGCCTCACACGGCGATGAGTCTCGGGGAGGATGTCCACATCAATGATGGAGGATACTGGGCGGAAGTCATGTGGCATGCTGATATCAAGGTGGGTGCGCCGACGCAGACCCTCATCCCTTAGCGTCACCAGCACCTTCTTCTTCCTTGACAGGGTGCCTGCCCCAAAGCTGTAGTGGTCTGCCTCTTCTGAAAGAGTCCAGAGACCGAATAGTGAGAAGCATACATCATACACAAGTGAGATCAAGTAGCATAACTCCCACAAGCCTCGGTTTGCTGCTCTGAAAGCCCCAGCTTATCATGCTTGCTCCCTTCCCACCAACTCCCACTAGGTCTCTGCACCTGGGCAGAGCTGCTGAGCTGGGTGGGCCCTATAAAGCCAACCACAGGACCGTGGTGTACAGACACTGGATTATCTCACTAGCCTCATGGAGTCCAGGGCTGGCCAGGCTGAGCTGGTCTCAGGCAGCTGTGAGGCCACAGGCTAGTACCTACCACAGAGCTCTCCAAATGGCCACAGGCAAAATGACTTCAAGTGGTAGAAGAGGGCAGAGCCTATAACAGTTAAGGATGGGGTGAGGGTGTAAATGCCTGGCAGGGTACCACATATGCAGGTGGGGAGCTAGATTACAGAGCATGTTAAGCCTAGAAAAGTCCCCCCAAATGGTTTTTGTCTGCCATTTCTCAGCAGCAAGACAGAAATTGCTCTACTTCATGTTAATTTCCAGGAACAGACTGCTGCGTTCTTCTCTCCTTGTGTGTGAGCACCCTGGTTAGAACCGTCAGCTCTAGTCCAGTTAGATGATGTGTCCCAGGGAGTCACTGCTGTCTGCTTCTGGTTAGTAACTGGCACAGGTACTGCCAGAGGTGTTATGCCCTGCCCTGAAATGGTGCTGTGGCTACATATTAAACATACACATGCATTAACTGTCAGCTGGGAAGATGCTTAATCTAAAAGTTTTTAAAAGCTGAAAGACCAGGGAATATATAGGTGATGTTTGTAAACTGAAGAAAGCATTTATGTATGTCAGAAAAATATCGACACATGAGGCTTTTTTTTTTTTTTTTTGAGACAGATCTTGCTATATAGTCCAAGCTAGCCTTGGACTCAGTATGTAGCCCAGGCTGGCCATGGACTTGTCATAATTCTTCTGCTTCAAACTCCCGAGTGCTGGGATTGTAGGGAGATGCCACCATGACTGGTTTGTATAAGGCTCTTTACAGAAAGCTCTTCTGAACACTCCCCTCTCCCCCCATGTGTGACTTGTGTTTTTTCAGCATTCTGGTCCTATGGAAACTCTTCTGTGCCTGCCTTTGAAAGCTAACTATCAGACTGGCACTCCTGCCCCCTAACATGGAAATAAGAGGTGGTTGGCTCATAGACACCCCAAAAATAGGCTACATCCACAGCCTGAATGGTAATTTTGGCCTTTTCTTATATATATGACTGAAAAAGATAGAAACCTGATGGAATAAAAGCAAAACAAAAAAAATCACCAGACCATACGCAGTATGGGTGGAAAAATTTGGTAAGACAAAAGCAAGAACAGTGGAAAACAAATCAGGAACAGTCTTGAGAAATGGTAAAAGAAGTCTCTTAAAAATAACAGGAAAGTTTATCTAAATCTTGCAGAAAGCCAGGTATTAAAGGCAAAGAGCTAAACACTAAAAGGAAACCCAAAGCCAAGGCTGATGGTAGTGGCAGAGTAACCTAAAGGCTGAAGAACATAAGATCTTGAAGTTCTCCTGCATCAAGGCCTGTCTTCATCATAAGGGTTGGTGACATGCTCTGTCTGCCAGGTATTCCAGAAGGCCAGATATATGCAGAAGTACTGGACTGCTAGATTCAGGACTGAAAAGAAGAGAAGGCTTCATAATACCAGTTAGTGTTGACAAGAATGGAGGTCCTGAGTGGCTAACCTTTAAGAAATGCATAGATACTACCCTGTATACATGTCAGGAGAATTGTGGAGTACAGCAAACCTACCACCAACACTCTGTGCTTGCCTTGGGGCCACGAAGGCCAGAGAGTGTTACCAGAAGTAGCTGAGCTGTGTCTTGCTGACTGTAACAGGACCTGTCAAGCAAGTTCCTCGGCCCACAGCACACCAAAAATGTGTCATCTTTATCTGGACAGAAACTGGTACCTGCAGTGTACAAGTTTCCAGTGTTTCCAAAGCACTAATACCACTTTAAGCGGAGGTGAGAGCAGCAGCAGCCCAGACACCAGGGGAGTGGGATGGTGAATGCAGAGAGAGAGGAAAGCTTACAGAGTCATGTAGGGTTGAACAGAAGGCTGCAAACTTGCACATTTACCCAAAGTCAAAGCTGGGCCTCTGCTCCAGGAATATAAGTAGTATGGCTTTTTGCTTTAACAAAAGGAATTCGTTTTTCTAAATTGGTGTTCTAAGTTTCTCACCAAGAAATGACGATACAGTCTTTATCTTTTAAGAAATTATTACTTCCCTGGAGGTGGGCTTTTAACTTCTATGAAGTGGAGTGGACTATGTGGTATCTACAGGGGCCTGCTACTTCCTAGCTGTTTGAATCCACATCCAGTGTTAATACTTGCCTTTTGTGTCTCCACCTGCTCTCATCTGGAATAAAACTGGCATCTTTGCATCCTCTCTGAATAAGATGGTGCTAAACTGCATACGGAGAAGAAAAAACTCACACCACTTTCTTTCATTCAATTAGCGTCAATTTCTTACACTACACTGTCACTGCTGATGTTAGGCCTGCAGCCGAGTCTCTGAACATAACAGCAATTGGGAGTGATGGATTCCTGAGTATAGAACGCACTCTGACTATCTGACAAAACATGTACCTATTTGTACTGCTTTGTAATGAAGTACCCTTTTGTGGATATCTGGGTTTCTATCTTTGTGACCATAAACACTTTTAACTAACCTGGAATGTGTATAAAGCTGCAAGTATTTGGAGGGGAAATTTTCTGATTATCTTTTGCTCAAAGGATTTATGCATTTTAATCTAATTTTGGTATATGTCCCATACATGGAAAATGGTGGGTTGGAACCTGGCCCCATGGCAGTAAGGCTTCTTTCTAGAGATCTGTCTAACCTCAGCTTTTGCCACTGCCCAGTGGGGATCTGCTGTCACTAGGTCTCCTTTGGAATGGGTGAGGCTGGATGCAGGGGTTGGACTTGGGGTCTTTTTTCTTTACTACAGCCACCACTTTATTTAGGGACCTTGCAATTGTAAATATATGAAGACCCAGCAAGCCAGGATCCCTTTGACCTTTATGGTGGTGGCTAGATTCAGCTAACTGCTGAATCCTCTAGTCTTGACCCTGTTTCTTGAAGCTGGAATTTTAGCAAATTTAAAGGTGTGGAAAGGCCAGATGCTCCCTAGGGTTCAGCTTGTCAATCTGTGGGATAATTTTTACTTTTCAGCATCCGATACTTGGTCAGTCAAGACAATGAATGTGAACAAGTGTAGACATATGGGGCCATGCCCCATTGTGGTCCTGTGGTGAGTTCTCAGAAGTGTGTTGTCATATTGTCAGATGTAATACTTCAGGACTTCTGGACTGTGAGATTGGAGCTGGGGCTCCTGTCAGTGCACACTGAGTGGAGGATCCAGGGGCTCCAGATGGCCTGGAGAAGATGAGTCCAAATTTGGCTGGGTATAGGATCCTTTACTTCCTTACCAGATACTTAGAAGTCCTGGGTGAGGATCTGTGGAAGGTAGGCAGGTGCCACTGAGACTCTCTAGGCCTATCCCTGTTTGCCTCCTCCAGCCTAATCCAGGGATGTTGCATTCTGGGGCAGTGTTTTGTCTTAAATGCCTTGACCTATGCTGTTCCTCTCAGGCACCTGCAGTCAGGAGGCTGAATGACATAGGAGAGGACTCAGGAGTGTGTTCAGAGGATTTCCAGTGAGTAGGATTTGTGTTCTCCCAGGGTAGCACTTTTTACGAACCAGACCCATGGGTCTGCTGGTAGGCTATGAGTTCCAGTCAGGGGTGCACACCAGCACTCTCAGCTGGGATTGTGCTTCAGTTTGCTCACAGACTTATACTGAGTGATGAGATTAGTTAGAGAGCCAGTGACTGTGTCCACTACTAGCAAGTGACTGTAAGGGAAGGATGAACTGCACAGAAGGTAAGAGTGGACTGCTCAGTAGGGAAATACGCAGGTGCTCCTGGAAGAGGAGGGAGTATGTGACTGGTTCTTTTCAAATTCTTGAAGTCAGGGGCTGGCCACAGGCTTTGCTCGGACTCCCTTTTCCAACATCCAAGACTGAGAATGTGTAGCCTCAACCATCCAGCCCTTCCTACAGTATGCTGCTGCAAAGATGAGGGAACACAGATTCCTCCCAGCTTCCTGCTGCAGGGCAGCATGGTGATGCCTACACCAAGGCCTTCAGACTAGTGCACTGGAGTGCAGTTTCAGACAGTAATCCATTACTCTATCTTTAGAAATGTGAATATCACACATGGACTTTATTAGTCAAAATTTCAAGACTATCCAGAAAATAAAAGTAGGTCCTAAAGAATGTCCCATTCCTAAAATTCCAACTGTTCTGAAACACTTTTTCACAGCTTCCTTATAAAGCAATATGTTAATATTTATATTGTCTACAAGGCAAACAATTTGGATGTTTGATTTTTTAGATGAATCTGTCCCCATATCTTTTTTTTTCCCCTCAAATTCTGTTTTCTTATGTTTCATGATATACTCAACAAAATAAATAGAATTCTTGCCCTGCAAAGCTCAGATGGTGACAAGTTTTCAAAGTAGAAGCTTTTTATTTAGTTTTGGGACAGGTCTTATTAGGCTAACCAGGCTGGCTTTGGACTTACAATCTTCCTATTTTAGCTTTCTAAATACCTGGGATCACAGGTGTGTGCCACCATGCCCCAATGATCTAGAGATTTTTAAAGAACTATTTTCGTGCAAAGTTATTTTTCACATCATCATATATTTGATGCTGACCTTGAGCTAGGCTTTTTCATCCAAGGAAGAGTTGGGAAACTGGTAAAATTTGCTTCCTTCATAGGTTTTTGAGGCCGTTCTGAACAGCACTTGTCTATTCTGGCAAAGAGAGGTGTCACCTGTATGCACCGATTTGCTTAAAGACCAAAGGTACTATAGCTGGGTGCTGTGTAGGCTAGGGACTGGCAGTGTTTGGTAAGAAGGCTCTATTTTCAAGGCCCTTATCAGCTAT